AAACAACAACAACATGTGAAAGAGACAGCAGCATCCACTTCCTAAACAACATGCCTCTACAAACTCAACGAACTTTGATAAATGACCACAGTTACAGAAAGGCTTCAGGTTCATAGGGTCTCTATGAATCATGCTCAACTCGACGGCAATTAACAATAACAACCACCACCACCATACACTCACATATACAGATATATGTATATGCTAGATATATGTAACTGAAATCACATTACATACATCAAAACATGATGATAGTATATAACACAAGCTAAAGAAATTCTAGTGGCTTAGTGACAAGGAATTGCGCAGCCAATGCAAAAGAATGTGATAAAAAATCCATTAGCTGCTTCACAGGACAAAGATGGGTGATCTTTTCCTATGTAATTCACAGCCTCCAACAACCCACTGTAGAGTCAGCTAAAGGGTTCGTTCCAACTCACAACAATGCCCTCTAGAGAAACATACTCTCTAAAAGAACAGCATCTCATTTCATTTTCAGAACAATCCTATGAGACAGGTAATACTGTTATCCCGATTTAACAGATGAGAAAACTGAGGCATGAAAAGCTAAAAGCAAGATGCCCAAGAGCACCCTGCAAGGCCAGGCTTCCCACCTGCTCATCAGGCTAAAGCCTAGTTCTCACCCACTGAGCCAAATGACATCCTCCAGAGGGGCAGAACCGAAACCGCTGCCAAGTGCCTACTACAGGAAAACCACCTACCCTAATGCAAACAATTACAGTTAATTAAGAGTTCACTATAGAATAATTTAGGGTCTAAATGTGTAAGGGCCTTTGTTGAATATTAATGACAACATAATAACCCTGTGAAAAACTGAAAACTACCACATTTAACAGCTGATTCACAACAGTAGCCTTTTTTACTAGCGCTACCATAGTATGTATTTTTTTCTGGCTATAACACTCAATTTTAAAATATTCTATACAGAAGAGTAAGTAATAATTAGCAACCTAAATATTCTAACAATAACTAATGTACTAGAAAGCTAAGTCATAATTTAGAGGATTAGCTCTCCCAGTAATTACAGAAAATACTTTCTAAAAGATTCAGAGTGACAGAACAAGAAAACACACGGAGGTATAATAATTATAGCAAGAAATAAAATTAACAAGAAATATTTTTTAATCAAGAATTAGCCTTTTAATTTCCTGTCTCATTATTTTGGAAAATGACTAAAGTTCTCTACTTAAACAAACAAAAAGTTAATCAGCTGCATGGAACAAGAGTGAGCTCAAGCCCCAGGCCCCTCCCGAGTGTGTGTAAGTGACAGGGTGCCTGCAAGGTCAGTATCCTTCCTCCATGCTCACAGGAGGAGAGGACACCTACCCGCACAGTGAGCTTTGACATTAGAGTTTTAAGGAAGAAGTGAAAATGGTTTATCAGCTGCCATCTCCAAAGCTTGGCCAGAGATTTAATATCGGATTCTGTATGTTAAATGAAAGTGTTTACTTACAATAAATCTTTTAATAAACCAGTTTACTATTTTTACAATTGTAATTCTGAGAATATTTGGGCTTACATATATTACAATTTTTAATCAAGAAAATAAAGACAAACTTCTTTTTAAAATCGAGGCACAACTATACTCCTGTGTTTTGCTTTGCCGCTCCTTGTAGATACTATGTTTACTACAAATCGAAAGCCTGGTCCCACTACACATTAAGTAAAATCTACTGGCATCACTTTTCCAACAGCAGGTGCTCACCTCAGGTCCCCGTGTCTCACTGTGGTAACTGCTGACACACCTCAAACTTAGTCATCATCTTACTGCACAGTTAGTAGATTACTAACACTTAATGCCACTGAGTTGGTTCTACCTCATGGCTGACCCTACGTGCTGCCCTTCTAAGGCCGTAAGTCTTAACAAGAGACTGCTCATCATTCTCCCATGGAGCAGCTAGGGGCTTTGAACCACAAAGTTTTTGTGTTAGCAGAAGAGCAACTTGCTACAGTACAATGTTGTTGTTATTATGTGCCGTCGAGTCGCTTGTGACTCATAACGACCTTATGTAAAACAGCCCAAAACGTTGCTCTGTCCTGTGCCAATCGCACTGTCTCTGACACTCCCATCCCGATTATCCCAGTCACGGAATCAATCCACCTCATAGAGGGCCTTCTCTCCTGCGCTGTCCCTCCACCCTCCCAAGCATGATGTCCTTCTCCAAGGACTGGTCTCTCCTCACAACATATCCAAAGTATGTTAGACAGAGCCTCAGAATCCTTGTTTCCAAGGAGCCACCCGGTTTAACCCTTTCCAGGACAAATCTGTTTGTTTTCCTAGCA